AGATAGATAGATAGATAGAGAGATGAACGAGTACGCACGGAAAAATTAGCCTCTTCAAGGTTCGATCAAATGAGAAAGCATCAGAATTTTTCATTTTATGCCACTCTTTGCTTAAAATGAAAATTAATCAGAACTCCCTCCCCGACCCACACACATACACATGCGCGCGCATGTGTGTGTGTGTATGTGTAGATGATCAAAATGCAGGAATGGTTGGATGAGGCGTTTCTTTATGTGCATGCGTAGCAACACTTTGTAGTTCGATTTCATGTACAAGGAATATAATACTGAAAGCACGAGTAGAAAGTAATGTTTATTTCGGATAGTTGCGAAATGAATTTGTAGATGATGTCAGTAAGAAGATGAATGAGAAAGAATTTCGATGGAGCGACGTGAAAAGAGCGTGGAAGAGTAGAAACATATAGAGTCTAGTCAGACGATCAATAGGGAATAAAAAGGGTTTAAGGTAATAAACGGAGACAGACAAAGAAAACAGAAGACGAGAAGAGACTTAGAAGAAAGGTAAAGGAGAAAAGGGGGAAGAAGAAAAAGCCCAGAAAAAGACGAATGAGAAACAAGTCGTATCGAGGAACAAAAGCAAGGCAGACCGAGGAAAATAAAAAGAAAACGAAAGAAAAAAGTAAGGAATAAATATGCTGAAGATGAAGACAGGAAACTACGTAAGGGTGAATAAAATTCAGGGTAAAATAAAAGAGAAAAATCGAAAAAAAATGTAAGAAAAAAAGAAGAAAAGAGAAAACCAAAGAAGAAGATGAAGAAGAAGAAGAAGAAGAAGAAGAAGAAGAAGAAGAAGAAGAAGAAGTGGGAGGAGAAGAAGACAAAGAAGAAGAAGTGGGAGGAGAGGAAGAAGAAGAAGAAGAAGAAGAAGAAGAAGAAGTGGGAGGAGGAGAAGAAGAAGAAGAAGTGGGAGGAGAGGAAGGCGGAGTAATGGCAGTAGAAGAAAGAAGGAGGAAACGGAAAAAGCAGAGAGAAGAAGAAAGAAGAATAAAATGAAAAAGAAGCAGAAAGAAGAACAAGAACAAGAAGGAGAATATATTGAAATGAATGGACAAGGAAAAGTGAAAAGAGACAAAATTAGTAGTCGTAACAGTAGTAGTAATAGTAATAATAGTAGTGACAGAAGAAGGAGGAGGTGGAAGGGGAGGAGGAAGAAAAGATGACGGAGAAGAAGAAGACCTTGATAGTTCCCATTTTTACCTTTCCATATTTTTTTTATCATTCTAATATTTTATTCCTTTCATTTCTGTCAAATTACCTTTCTACTTAGGGTAACGCAATATGCACCAAATACTCTTCCTTGGACCATTCTAAAAGCCTTTATCTCCTTAAATACGATTAAATGGAAACTACCTATATCAAGTGGACTCGGAATGTCCCGGATATTCAATGCTATAAAAAAATTTAGGTTATAAAGAAAATACACCCATACAGAGAGAGAGAGAGAGAGTGGGGGGGACATAATATGTGAAATACGTACCTATATTCTTCCATGTGACGTATCCCTTCAGGATCAAAGCTCTCCACAATTCCCTATTCCGTTTAGCTTTTATTAACGTTTGTCTTTTTACAATCACCCCCCTCCCCGTTTCGCTGTTCCTTCCCTCAAGCTCGTCAGATATGTAGTCTGCCAACTCCGCCTTTTTCTTTTGCATTCGCTATGCCCTGTAAGTTTTAATTTTTTCTCGTTATGTCCCCAAGAAATTTCAGCTGCCTGTTTCTGATTCTAAGTAGAAGTGTCCTTTCCATTTTCCTTAAAACTTCCCTGTTATTCATATGCGCCGTCCATGGATTTCTGAGCATCCTTCTGTAGAACCATATTTCTTATACATCCAGTCTGTGATTGATTGATGTTATATCTTATGGCTTATCAATCTTTTAAATTTTATCTCTATCTATAAAAGGTAGGGTGTGTGTGTGTGTGTGTGTGTGTGTGTGTGTGTGTGTGTGTGTGTGTGCGTGTGCGTGTGTAACGAATGCACGGCCGCAATTTTCGACGGATTTGCACCAAAACTTACATGCACATGCTCCAAGTTAGCGGGAAGGACAAGACCGACTTTGCATTTCCCAACTCCCATCGATAGTGGAAAGAATCGATTTTTTAATGCTTCTACGGCAGTTTTCATGTAGTTTACAGCCATTTTGTACTGGCCTGAGTGAGAGCCAATAGCTGGCTGCCACGAATAGGCAGGAAGATTCTATTGGTCAGCGTGAGAGCCAACAGCTGACTGACACGAATATTAACTAGCATGCTAGCATGTAAAAAAAAAATCGATAGCTGCATTTGTCACAAGTGGGAAAAATTTAAATCTGCAAGCCACTTTACTCCATTTGGCTCATTCGCTTGCTTAAACTCAACATTGATTCTGATTCCGCAGAACTGGGTTGGGTGTGAAAAGTATTTGTTGTTAACATTCTTTTTCATTCGGTTTTCCAGTTACAGTCTTTTTTAAAGCTGATCGTTTTGTGTTCATTTTGTTTAGTTCTTTTTTCGTAACAGATTTAATGTTTAGTATAGAGCTTCAAAAATATTCGCAGTGTGAGATAGGCAAGAAGTAAGGCATGTAGCAACATCAGCACGGCAAAGGGCACTCCTTTAAAGGCAAGGAAGGGCAAAAATATTTTAAGTCAAGTGATAGCGATTGCTGTATGAGTCGTACGATTTTTGAATCAAGCACGGGCAACGCCGGGCCATGCAGCTAGTTTAACATAAAATGTGAGATTATTTTTTTTTAGAGATAATAATGATTTATTGATACAAGTCCTATAATTAACCCAATGCTGGCAGATGAAGACATGGATACGTACCTTTTCTGTATTCACGTAAGTGAATATAACGAACCCGACTAGAATATGAACCCGACTCTCCGATTTCCAATTCCGGTCTATTACCCATTACACCACCAGTACCTCCAGATATAGATCACATGCTATTCCCAAGCTGACGACCAGCTAAGTAGTGACCAGGCTTAACGTCGGTGATCGTACGGAAGCCGGTGTTTCAATGTGATATATCCGTAAGGTCGCTTCGTCTGCGAGGAGATGATCATTCCTTTACTACAATATAAGAAGACATTACGTAACAGTTCAGAACTCATTTCTTTGTTTCTAACGGGATTTTCCTGTCTCGTGCTTATTTTCAGGAAGGACTCTTTTCCTATTGCACAGTAATCTTCGAATTTCGGTGTCACATTTTCCATCCATTGTTAAAGCACCTCCCAGATTATCTACCTACAGAAGATATAACGGGTGTAACAGCAAAATTGTTCAAATCATATTGTAACATAATAGTAAGTCCCATTTAATATCTAAAAAAAAACACTGAGTTTTCTTCCACGTTTTCAAATAAGACGTTTAGCCATTTGATACCATTTGTCGTAAGAATCACTAAAAAAAACCTTTGAGTTATTCACATAGAAAGAGAACACGTTAAACTCGTTTTTTGTCAGACCCATTTTTTCAAACGAGCAATGGTCAGAGAAAAAAGATCATTCCTGCCATCAGTAATGGTACCAACATTCATACTCTGGGTTTCATCTTCAATGTCCATTCAAGAACCATCAAGTGAACGGTGAATAAGTTTAAAAAGAGGGAACAGTAGAGAAGAAAAATGGATCACAACAGGAAGAGGGATCATCATTTCAGCTTAGAGCTAAAGAGATCAATTAGAAAAGATCCAACTCAATCTGTAGGACGTTTGGAACGTGAGAAAGAAGTTTCACCCATTACAGACCAAACAGCAGTGAAATACAAGGTAACTTGTTACTCCAGGACAGAATTTTAGAAGGTTAGAGGGTGAAAGTCATCTTGAATAAGTTAGAGAACGATCCTGGAAAAAAAAAAAAAAAATATATATATATATATTGAACAATAAGAAAATAAAAAATTAAAATCTTTAGACACACTGGGTTGTAGATTAATATTCTTTCGTTTTTTTTATTATTATTCCATTTAGATTCCTCGACTAGTTTCGACCGAAATGGCCATCATCGGGAGGAGAAATATTTCTGCTTGCTGGTAGCACTAAACTACAATATATATATATATATATTTGAACTTTATATCAATCTTTCATGAGATTCCGATCCTTATCTATGATTAATTAATGATATCATTTGGGTTTATGATCGATTTCATCAGGATTCTTCTGTTAAGCTTAGAGAGTAATTATACATGTTACAGTTTTTTGTGTATATGTATGAATATATAACTAGTGAGCGAGTCAAAATGACTTAACTCCCTTTATAGTCCACCAATAGAAGGTTAACCAATCAGAAGCCGCAGAACATTGTATCCGTCGTGTATAAAGGCGGCCATTTTTGTTTACCCTACCCGAATGACCAGTGCCAACTTGTCAGGCGAAGATGACAGAAGGAAGAACTACGCTCTGCTACTTTGCTGCGATATCCACTGCTAACCTGAACTACGCTTTCCTACTGTCTCCGAAATATTCACTGCTAACCTCTGGATTCTATACTCGAAGACGACCGTCATGAATTTGTAACAATACATTCTTATTGCTCAGAGTCCAAATGCGCTATAAAAACCTCTGAAAATTCCAGTAAGATATCTTTAATGAATTAATAATATACAACCGTTCAAAGCGTAATCTAACAATTTGGACAATTTTGCTGTTACACCAGGTATTTATTCTGTACTGATTCATTACTGAGTTATGTTTATTGAGTGTGACTGCAAGTTATTTAATGACGTCTGCAATATATCCCATACATGCTCAATGGAATTTAAATCTGGCGAGCTGGTAACGGGGAGGGGGTGCTCTAAACTACGGGAAATTAGTCGACCGAGAAACATGTTTAATGATCTGTAATAGAATCTGTGCATGTCACCTTCAACAAGAAAGATTCTAGTGAACTCCATCTGAACACATTCCATCTGAACACATTCCATCTGAACACATTCCTGAACTCGATCGTCTACTGGAAAGTTTGAAATGTGACTCATGTCATAACCTCTAGACTTACGACCACATCCGGTTTAAACACCGGTTTCCGTACGATCACCGAAGCTAAGCAACGTCGAACCTGGTCAGTACGTAGATGCGTGCCCGCTTGGGAATACTAAATGATGTAAGTTTGGATGGTTTAATGGATAATGACTCGGAAATTTTAATCGGAGAAGCTAGTTCCAATTCCAGTTGGGCTTCACTTGAGAAAAGAATGAATCCACCTCTTCTCCCCCAGCTATGGATTAATTAGTAAGACTTGTGTCACTAAAACATTATTATCTAAAAAAAATTCTTACAAGCTAAAAAAATTTTCTGGTTTTAAATAACCTGAAGACGGTTGATAAGCCGTAAAAAATGAATGAATGTATCAATCAATCATGGCGTCAAAAATGGTATCCTTGCTCGTCGGTGAGTAGAGACTCCATGGAATATAGTGTCCACTGTACTGACGTGTTGGGTGGCACCAGCGTAAAATTGTGTTATGATTTGATATAATGTACAACAGAGGTTGATGTTTCTTTTAGACTCGATAAATTATGATTATTTCAAATCCTCCTAATCATTTCTATCTGTATATCCTTGCTTGAACCGGCTTCGAATGCTCTGGACTGAGCGGCTTCGGGATAGTAGTCATAGCTTGTGGAGGCACAGTCCTATGGGTAAAGAGAATCTCGGATGAGTTCCACCACGGAATATGTGATCGAGCGGCGCTATATCGGTTCTAATTCGTTACCTCTTCGTCACCGTTGGTACAGTTGGTATGGCGTCCCCCACCCCTATCGTAACCGTTCGGCTTTCAATTCTCGGTAGTGGATGCGCACTGCTGATGAGTCCCAAATATAGGTCGAAAGGGCCGCTCTGTTGAGGTTTCTTATATATATATATATTTTTTGATGCATACTGATATTTTTTCTGGTATTTATCAGGAAGTGTTTTCAATTGGAACACTTTCTGTGACACATTATCAGTATGCATCAAAATTTGTTAAACTGGTCCGATCCAAAACTCCAAAAGTAACATTGTACACCCAGAAAGCAAAATGCATGTTGATGGAGAATACACACATATATATATATATGAAGAAAAATATGTACGGAAAAAACAAACAAAAATCCTTATATGCAATTATGCTGTTTTAATGTTAATATGTCAACGTCGGACGTTTCGGTCTAATAAACCATCTTCAGGACATATTCATAAAATATAATTAACATTATCAATTCAACATGACAAAGACGATGTACATAAGAACAATACTTATCCAAACAAATAACTGAAAGTTTTATAAGATCAGCGCCCTGTTTAAAACATGGTCACGTTTTCATCACGTGGGCGACGCTGTGAAAACGTATTCCTAAAATTTGAGTATTTTGAATGAAAAATGAAAAATGAAAATAATTCTATTTTGATCTAAAATTTATATGTACGCTTGTCGAGCATTAATCTCGCTAGAAAAGGGGAAATACTAAAAAAGCCAGGTCTAGTATTCACCGTGCGTGAGATGGATATTATGCCTGCTTCATAAATCCACCTAAGATTTTTATTATGAAAATATTTTAAAATCTTCACGGAATCAAAATGGAAATTATGATCTGCTTTAGTTTTGTGTACAATTATAGCATTGTTTAGACAACAACGTAACCATGTTTAAAGGGAGCGTTATTCTTATAAAACTTTCAGTTATCTGTTTGGATAAGTCTTGTTCTTATGTACATCGTCTTTGTCATGTTGAATTGATAATGTTATAATTTATGAATATGTCCTGAAGATGGTTTATTAGACCGAAACGTCCGACGTTGACATATTAACATTAAAATAGCATAATTGCATATAAGGATTTTTGTTTGTTTTTTCCGTATATATTTTCTTCATACTGTCGGATCTATATCCATATATTTGCTTACACACACATATATACATATATATATATATATATATATATATATATATATATATATATATATATATATATATATATATATATATAAGCAGCTCCATTATCAACTACGTAACCTATACATACATAGCTTACTCAAATACTAGTATCCACTAATAATAACGTCTATATTGATAAAAAATCTATTGGATTAATAAACATTCATTCTAAAAAGAGTCTATTTGTTTACGTTTGGATACGAAACTGTGTGTATATCTGAAAAACTTGGAGAAATCTATGACAGGAGATGTTTTGCATGAAAGTGGGAAACTGTGTCTTCGTGGCCAAGCGGGAAGGCGTCGGCCTAAACGAGGTACGCAAGTTCTATTCTTACCGAAGAGCGCAAATTGTTCTTAATAATATTTCTCAAAGACTCAGTAGGTGTAAATAAATAACTATGCTGTTTAATATATAAAGGGAGTTTCTACTCCAATACGAGTCTCCACTAATAATAACGTTTAAAGTGATAAAAATATATATATAGTGAGAGAGAGAAAGAGAGAGACAAGGTATATTTAATCAGCATGTATTCTTCAAAACAAGAAAAGATAAGATTTGTCTGTTTAATTTTCTATATTTTACCCAAATTTCGAATAATATATTGAGTATTGTGTTCAAAGTTATGGTTCAACTGTCCGAAGTTCATCTTTTTTTTTCTTGTTTGTTTACTTGTTTGTTTCGACCCTCGCAGTCATTATCAAGAACCATTCTGTTGCCTGTGTGGTAGTTAGAATTTCTTTGTCTTCATCCTGGTATTCTTTGAGAAGCTGAAGGTTTTAAATAGTCTAGCAAGACGTCATGTGTAACGTTTTTTTGGGAATGAGGCCATACAAGAAGAATGCGATTTATTTTATTTTATTTTATTTTATTTATTTATTTATTTATTTATTTATATTTTTCTTATACTAATATAATATATGCGAAAATTAATTATATCATCTGCCCTTCATGATACTGTTATGGGGTCCACCCCTTTTTCATAGAAGTGGACTCGACCAGTGTGTACTTGTACTGCTGCCGGTGAATACCCGGGAGTAAAAGAGACGGAGAGATACACTGATACAGTGAACAGAGAGAGAGTAAGAGTGTGAGGTAACCGCTTTGTAGGAGTCATAGTTGCGAGCACATAGACTCAGAAGGAAGTCATACTTCGATACTGAATTTCCCAGACTATATATATATTAATATTGCTACTAACCGCATTTCTGGATCTACTAACCGTATTACCAATTGTATTATTACGTCAATACATTTATTTGTTATATTTCATTCCTGCGTTTGTCATTCATTTGAGACCGGATTTCATCTCGGAAGCCACAACAGATACCATCTCCTGTAGTGAATGATATCTTATTTAATCTGGACTGTTTATTTTGTATAATAGCTTCTCGGGTTTTCAGTCTTTCCTTGCATTTCTTATTTTCAGCATAATAACTGTCAATGTACTTAATTCTATTAGAAATATTGATCGCAGTTGTTGAAAATTATACAGCGAAAGATTTTTCCAAAAACCACGGATCAGATTAACGAATCATCTCTCTCTCTCGGTATATATATATATATATATATATATAGAGAGAGAGAGAGAGAGAGAGACCGATGATTCGATAACCTGATCGGCCATATATATATATATATATATATATATATATATATATATATATATATATATATAGCCATATAGCCGGTGCAATGTGAACGAAAGTAATATATAAATTCTAACGTTAACAGCATTAATCCAAAATAGCCCTCGATACCGATAGTAGAGCGATAATTATTTATTATAATTTTATCATATAGACAAAAACAGTTTACTGACTACAAAGATGCAACTTCGTTTCGGTGCATTTCAGTTGCACCTCGACTGGTGAGAACCAAAAATGGTTATGAACATTTCTAGTTGTAAGCAAGCCGTATGTGAAACGTCACTTCCTTTTTTTCCATTTGTTTGAGAAAAAAATATACATGAAGCAAAAAGGTGACGAAGTGAAACAATAGTGCTTGATAGCAGTTTGGTGAAGGATGGTGTGGGTGTTGAATGCTGGCTAATCTGGGAAGATTCCTTGCCAATAACAAAACAAATATATATATATATATATATATATATATATATATATATATATATATATTTAGTTGGATAGATGTGAGTTTGTGACCCTGGGTTTCACGCTTTAGCGATCGTCAGACAAACTGATTAATGTTTTAAAAAATTTGGGTTTATGTAGATTGCGTGTATTGGTGTTATTGTGAAGTGGTGGGGAAATTTCGTCGTTTTGTCATTCATCGTACTAACGCAAACATCGATATATGCAGGCACATATATATACTTGGTCGTCCGTCAGGACTCATACATATATAAACATATGTGGGCAGTTTCGTCTATGACACATATATATATATATATATATATATATATATATATATATATATATATATATATATATATGTAATGAGAACGAGAATGTAAATTCTAACGTTCAGAGCATTAATTTAAAAAGGGCTCAATACCAAGAGGAGAGCAATAATTATTTATTACAGATTTTTACATGGAGACAAAAAAAAATTACTCACTACAAAAGATGCATTCTTGTTTCGATGCCTAATGTGCAGCTCGACTGGTGGGAACTAAAATGGTTACCATTTTAGTTCTCACCAATCGAGATGCATCTTCGTAATCGGTAATTGTTTTTGCCCACATGTAGAAATCTATAATATATATATTTATATATATATATATATATATATATATATATATATATATATATATATGTATGTATGTGTGTGTGTATGTGTGTGTGTGTGTGTGTGTTGGATGTAAGAATGTCAAATATATAAATTATTGAACGAATCATAGTTATTTTTAACACCATACCTTGTGCATTCAAAACAAGGTGATCATGAGTCTCCACAAAATCTCTATCTCTTTTTTATGTATGAATTACCATGCATTCTTGGAAAGGTAGTGGAGTGGTTTCCCATTGCATTCTCCATCATAATTATTAATAAACACGAATATCTCATCCATCACGATCGTGGCGAATGAGAAGAAAATGAAAAAGAGAGAGAAAGTGGACAGATGGAGAAGTAAAGCGAATGTATTTCTAAAATATTTCAAAAGAAGAAAATTGGGCGCGAAGATCGAAAGAAAAACGGGAAAAAAGCAAAAAATATGGAAAAAAACGCCATTAG